AAGCTTTCTAATTTATCTTACTAGTTATTTACCTATTATATTAGAAGTAAAATTTAATAGAGCCAAATTACTTCTTATAATAGTCTTTAGAATACTAGTATATATACTTCTATTTTTCTTTTATAATAATATTAATATATTTTATTAATAGAAGTAATACTAATAAAGGGAAACTATTTTTATTCTTTAATCTTCTGGCTATAGATTAGTACTAGATAGTAATCTCCTATAGATTATAATACTTTCTAGTATATAATACAGGAATTATTTATATAAAGTATAATAAGGTTTTAGAAGGTAAAGATATTTTCTAAATTCTATAATAGGGTAATAATTAATAAAATATAAATAAGGTAATTATATTTAGGAACTATATAGTAAATAATATAGTTAAAATAATTATAATACTACTTATTCTGGTTATTTATCTTATATTAGATAATATATACTTATTATTATATTCTATAATAATTTACTAACTTTTTAGTAATAAGCTTTTAATACTAATTATAAATATAATACTATTAAACCTTAAGCTTTTAATACTTTTTTTCTATAATAGAAGCCGTAATCTAAATAGAGAGATTATTAATCTACTTACTAAGATTAGTAAAGTCCTAATATTACCTTAGTTTATTTAGATACTTTTTTGGAAGTAAATATTAGAGATCCGGATTTCTTTTTATAAATATAGAGCAGAAATCTTCTATAAGATTCCGCCGGAACTTCAGGCCAAAAAAGACTATTATATTAGAAAGTAATTAATTTATTAATAGAAAATTAATATATTAGAGTTTAATAATCTATAAAATAACTAGATATAGGAAAGTAAAAAGTAAAAAAGGAGAGGAAGGAATCTAAAGTATAGTTCTTATATACCTATTAGTAGATAGCGATTTCCTCTAGTATATTATAAATTAGATAACTTATATATATTAGTAAGCGTTTCCTGAGCTTCTATAGTAAGCTATTTTATAGGCTTCTATAGTAAACTATTATAAATGAAAGTAGTAAAGCTAATATTAGTAATTAAACCTGGTACTAGAAGAACTAGTAAGCTAGTACTAATTCAATATATTATACTATCTATATTACTTATATTATTTAAGTAGTAGCTAATAAGAGTTTTTAAGTTCCTATATATAGTAAACTTTATAACCTGCCCTAGTAAATAGCTACTATCTATTACTAATTAGCTTATTATATTATAAACTTATTTAAAGTAAGTATTTCTTATTATTTATCTTAATAAACGCTTTATAACGAATAATATAAAGCCCTATTTCTCTTATAAAATCGGCTCTTTTTACCTAGTTTAAATATTAGTAGCTCTATATAGTCTCGTTTTTGGTTTTTTTAGTTAGTCTATTTATAGATATTTCCGGAAAGACTAAATTATTTAATATCCCGTTTATTTAATCTATAATCCGGTACTTTTTACCTAATAGTAGTCTAGTAATAAGAATATCCTTAATAGTATTATAGTTCCTAAATATACTGGCCGAAATAATAATAATAAGTAAAAATAAGAGGCTATTAGTAGAAAGAGTAAGTGCGGGTTTTAATTTCTTATATAATAGATATTTTAGTCTATATATAAGCTATTAGTAACTACTTAAGCTTTAGAATAAATTACTTTAAACTTATTTTTTCGAAATATCTTATATTTCTTTAGAAAATTCTCTTTTGAAATTTATTTTAATCTCTAGCTTTCTATCTTTCTATATAACTATATAAATAAGGTTCTATTAGTAATAGTTAGTATGAAAATCAGGGTTTTATTTCTACTTTAGATTTAGTATTTTACTTTATATATTACCTTATATATTTCCTATAATCTTATAAAAATATAGTAATATATCTTTAATAAGGTATTTAAATCTATATAGTATCCTTTATAGATATAGTTATAATAGTTATACTATTATAAGAGCTCTTTTATATTAATATAGTTCTTTATTATTAAGAATATAGGTGCCTTTTTCTTTATTAATAGTAGAATTATATATCTAAATATATCTTTAATATACTATTTTTCTTATTAGTAAATATATTATATATTAATACTTTAGAATAGGCTAGCCTATAGATATACTTATAGGAGCTACCGAGTTATAGACTTCTAGAGAAATAGTAAAGTTTTTCTTATATTACTATATTAATATAAGTTTTTATATCTTATTTCATACTATTTTAATAGTTGCTTTTCTCGTCTCTTTATCTAGTTTACCGGGGATTAAGTATACTATAGCTTTAGTAATATACTTTATATCTTCTATATTATATAAGTCCGATCCTGGATATTTCCTTTTATACCTAAGATATATTAGTACTTGCTATTCTTGACTTTATAATATTAGTAATATATGCTTCCTAAAAATCTCATATTATATTATATTATGATTAACTGGTTTTTTCATTAAGTTTTCTGTAAACCGGATTACTATTGATCCCGGACCTGTCCTTGGAGAGCCCATCCCTCAGGGCTGCCTCTATCCGCTCGTCTGGATTCAGTTCTCTCTTATTCCCTTTTGCCCGCTCGGTGCTCATGGTATAGGCGTGGATGTGTAGATCTGGAGTGGAAACGAGAAAAGAAGGTCTGGCTTGAGGAATGGGAGTAATTGGAAAGAGAGGTGAGAAGAGGATGAGAAGAGGGTGAGAAGAAGTGAGAGGATGGACGAGAGGATGTGTGAGGAGATGTGTGAGGAGATGTGTGAGAAGGAGAGAAGATAGGAGATAAAATATGTTAAGGCAAGAGGGAGATAGCCATTTATAGAGTATGAAGCCCTAGGCAAACCGCAGAGAATGACGTCAGGCATGTGCCGTTTTGCATGAAGACGGGCAGACGGGAGTAACTGTCTGAGAATGAGTTCTGGCTAATACAGGTGGTGAAAGTGCAGTGGGAACAGATTTGGGATCCCTTGGCTGGGAAAGGGGGCCTTTTCGGGTCCCTCGCCAAAAGTTGACGATGTCTGGTGAGATGGGTGAGCAGACCTGAGCAGACATGAGCCGAAGGTGAGCCGGGCCTGAGCCAGCCTGAGCAAAGGCGGCGCGAGATTACGAGAACTTGATGGGTGGGAGGCGTCGAGATTCCGGTCATATAACACTATATATCATATCGCAATCCTTAAATTGATCACTTCCAACATCTGAAAGTTCACTATCCTCTTCCTTAACTGCCTGATCTTCTTCCTCTTGCTCAATTTCCTCATCCTCATCCTCGTCCTCATCCTCAATCTCAGTTTCTTGATCTTATCTATCAGAATTGACTTCTAATTCTCTATTGCTCCTTCAGCAAGCCAGTCCCTTGCACGTTCTCTCCTTCCGTTTGAGACGGGCTGACTTCTGCATGACCTCTTATTATGTCCCCAATCAAGGCAGTTACCACACCGGGTCTGTGTTCTTTGCCATGTGCCTTTACGGATTCGCTTTGTACGAGGACGGCCAGCTTGCTTCCGGAGGATAGCAGGTTTGATATTACCGTCTACTGCTAGATCTTCGATTAAGATAGGAGAGAGAGGGTGGCCATATGTTTTTCTATATGCTCTCGTTGAATATGCATTATAAAAGAAGCTGAGCGAGTCTTCAGCCTGATACTTTGCAGCAGCAATTGCATGAGCACAAGGAGACTGGTATTCGTAAAAGGACCCACAATCGCATTCCTTCTTAGCAAGATTGACAATATGTTTCCTGCCAGATGTTAACATAGGTATGATTTGATAATGATCTTGATTGAGCATACCCTTCTAAGAGGGTGGGGAGGCGACCATTATATAGAACAGTGTCAGAAGTCCTACCCGATAAAAAGCAAAACACACTAACGGAACCCCACTTCAACAGGCCCCCTTGAGCTGGATATGGGTAACAATATAAAGGCCACAAAAGACATTAATATCTCTCTGGGCTCGAAGCATCTCTGAACGCATAGAATGCATCTTTTGGCAACGCCTTCGTGAAACCATCAGCCATTTGTCGACTTGTTTGTATGTATTCCAGTTCAATATCTCCGTCCGCAATCTTCTCTCGAATGAAGTGATGTCGGAGAGCAATATGTTTGGTTCGAGCGTGAAACTTGGGGGCTTTTGCAAGAGCAATAGCACCTTGGTTGTCGGCGTAAATGATCGTTGCGTAAGGGGATTCGTCAGTCGGGCATAGTTCTTGAAGGAGTTGTCGTAACCAAATGGCTTCTTTTGCTGCAACTGTCTGTGCCATGTACTCTACTTCGCAGGTCGAGAGCGCCACCGTAGGTTAACGCTTCGAGGACCAACTAATTGCACCGCTTCCAATATCGAACACAAATCCCGACGTTGATCTTCGAGTTTCTAAGTCATCTGCCCAGCTATCTCGCACGACAAACTAAACAAATAGCTCGTGTAAATAAGCAAAAGGCTGAGATTATTCTAATGTCACGGGTCGGCAATAATATCCTCAATTAAATAGTTTCCCTAAATATAAGAAGAATAATCTAAGGAGAGAAAGCTAGGCTTAAGCTTAGCACGGTAATATGTTCTCTATACGGAGCTATTAGCAGGGCAACGCAGGCACCTTGGGCTCTAAGACACCCAGTCCTACTACGGGTCTTAACCCGTCATAGCTACATCCACTTTTGCAATACCGAAAACCTCACTCATGGAGAGCTGCTTGCTCCGTTCGATAGTCAATAGCGTATAGAGTAAATACTTCAGGTTTGGTAGCTCTGCTGGGAACGTTCCTTGCAGCCAATACTTGAAGAATTGCCCAAATGGAGGAGACGGGTGAGGTCGCAAATGTCGAGGAGCAGAAAAGTGACGAATCGCCCAAGTGGGGGTGGGGGAGACCAGATCGAGGGTGTCGAAAGCAGAAAAGTGACGTTGTGATAGATGAGGACGAAGGGAAGCAATTGTTGAGTTCGAAGATTGGTTCTTTGCTTTTTAGAGATCGACTTCAGACTGGAATGGTTTCCAGCGAGCCAAATTGGCTATCATATGCATCGAATTCACAAGCAAGAAGCCATCCCCTTGAACAGAATACACATAAATGCATTTGAATTTACATCTTCACTCTTCTCGATTCTGTGACTGGTAGCCCTCCGTCACTGAAAAATGCCTGGATTTAGCCTTGTTGACATGTGATTGATCCGTTCCTTTTAACTGCTTTCCCCCACCTCGTTCAATGAAGTACATACTTCCTCAATTCTCTCTTCCCATCATTCCACTCCTCAACCGCTCTCCCATCCATGTAGCCGTTGATATACACATCACCCACAAACCGGTACTCACACCTCGTACCTTCCAGCCGCAGAAGAACTAGGGTCGAACAACCCAGAGGGACGACGACGACATCGCCGGGCAACATAAAGCCAGTACCCATCCCAATCCGGCCCTCCTCTGTACGACAAAAGCATCGTCCCATCATCCGATCTCCAAAATGCTTCTGGAGAAATTGCCTGCATTCTTCGGGTTTGACATCTACCTTCGCATCGACGTACTTTTGTAATTCGAGATCGAGTGGAAGTTGAGGCAAGCGCTTGCGGATAAGGGAGGCGAATATGTGGTAGGTGGTGGTCAGCCACTGATTTGATCCATTGTAAGCAGCAGGTACCTGGCCGAGACTAATAGTCCTGCAGAAGCCCTCTTGGACCAGTAAACCCCATTCGTTGGTTTCGTTGTCGTCGACCAGACTACCTAGAAGTAAGGCTCTCCAGTGTAGAAATGCCATGAGGTAATCGCCGATTGTGCAAACAGTGCCTACAGCAACGCCATGAATATTGATGGTATCTAGGTAGATTGCCGACATTTCTAGCTTATTTAGACGCTCATCGAGAAATTTGCACTTGGCCTTTGTGGTGCCCCCTGCTGAAAAGTGGTATGCGTGGCCTATAGCTATTGTTTGAGGGATGTGTGACCAGTCGGGGACGTAAGAGGGTAGATTTGCTGAACCTATATGGATCGGGAAATGAATAGCATCACATATGACATCCACGTGCTCAGTCGTCTTCAAGAGATAGTCCACGATTTCAGTGTATATATCCTTGACTAAAAGGTTATAATCTGCACGAGAATCGTTGCGGATCTCCTCTGGCAGAATACCAAGGACCCCAAAGAGCTTGTCTTTTGCATCTGAGGTAATCTTCCGTCGGCAAGCACGTAAAACTGCAAGTAGAGCATCTTCTTGAAGTCCTATGTATGATTGAAGATCTGGAAGGCTGGCGGGGCCTTGGTATACTAAGACCTGGGATGCACTCAACTGGTTTGGCGATGTTGTAATTCTTCCGCTATCTCTTTTGGAACCTGGGAGAGCATGGTCTAAGTCACGTCTGCATCGACTGAAGGTTTGAGAGGCGAGTTGGTACGTCTTCCACGGGAGTTTGGTGGATCCACAGTATACTTCAATTGACCTCGCGTTGTATATTTCTTGGACCACCCACAACCTTCTCCAATAATCCCTTTCGAATAGTGCAACTACTGCTGTAAGGTCACTTTGCGCTCTTGATAGTATCAAGCTCAAGACCCTCTCTAGAGACTTTGCTTGATCTGCAATGTCGCGGAGAAGATCTGTTGCGCGTGCACTGTCATCTTCCTCTGGCCCTAGCCAGATTGCTACGGACCCAGCCGTCGAGTATATGTTGGTCATGAGCTGGACCTGCTGAGTGCGTTCACCCCTATTCTGTTGATCTATACAAAGGGCATCTACCCACACCATTGCAGACTCAGCCTTCTGGCGAAGCGCTTCCAAGGCACCATATAGGCTGACAGATATGGGGATGAGAGACCCTTCCAATTCGATTTTTCTTGTGTTTCCGGCATCCCCCCAGGCGTAAGAAAGAGCCACATATCGAGGTGGATTCTCCAGCGAAGAGTGGAGTATTTCGCACTTAATCATAGTCTTCCTTTCCGGAAGAAGCCTCACCAACCTGAATTCCATGTCCTGAAGGGGCCTATACTGATATGCTTTGTCCCCGAGCACTCCAGACCGAGACGATCCAAATGAAGAATTTGAGAAGTCTACAGAGGTTGTAGGTGTGCTGCCCCATGGCTGTCCAGTCAGATGTGTCGGGGTCACCACCCTTCTCTTCGGAGTTCTCTCGCCCTCCGAGCGCTTCAGCCCATGTGAAGGCCACCCAGACGAAGAGTTGTCAGCTGGGTCTAGAGGAGTCGAATAACCAATATCAACCTTCCGAGGTATTATTTGGGAGGGGCGAGGTGGTTGGGGAGGAAGCGTCCATTGATCAGGCGGTGGGATATGTTCATATTTATGGACCCGCGGATTCTTGCGGCTGGTTGCGTTCGTAAGCTTGCCGCCTTTGCCGCGCTGATCGAAGGTAGTAGGTAATGGGATTCGTGGGTCCCTTGGAGGTGAAGGGATCCGAAAATCCGAGGCAACGGGGGGGGCTAGTCTTGGAGCGAACGGAGGAGGTGATGGAAATCGTGCCGCGGTCGAAGGGAGAGGAGATGATGGAAATCGTGCCGCGGTCGAAGGGAGAGGAGGTGATGGAACTCGTGCCGCGTACGAAGCGTTCGGGCGACGTGGGGATAAAAGAGGCAGTAGAACCGGTGCCATGCCTGAAGGTGCCTCGTAGCGATTGTCTTCGTATGCAGGCGGATATTGAGATGGATGATTTTGATGTTCATTGTGAAGGCGGCCATCTGAAGCCTGGTGAACCAGGCGACTTCTATCCAGGTCAAACATATTCTCCATGGTCGCTGAATTGACTGACGCTCGTGAATACGCTTCGCTGATATGCGTCTCGTGGGAAATTGGAGGTACGCCTGGAGAGAGACAGAGTCGATAAGATGGTCTACGAGGCAGCGCTGGCCAGGCTGGATTTAGGCGAATTATCTTCCATCGACTCCTGGTGGATAGAACACGAGCAGGCGCTTATTCGATCACAAAAACGCTACGGAATCCTCCGAGAAGAGCAGAAAAGTCAGAAGACCTCAGTCTAACTTCTGTGCAAAAAAATTCTGTACGCTATTCCAAACTTGGGTCATTCCTAGAAATGATGGGCAAAGGATAAATAGATTTATTTCGGCAGGCGGTCCGCAATATGCTAGCTGCTCTGCAGATACCCGATGTTGATGATAACGAGCTTCACGACTTAACCGACGCCGTTGCATGAGACCTCAAGATGCGGTGGAAATGAGGCGGTAAAATTGCTTCTTACGAATGGGGCCAATATCGAAGCAAGAGACAAGGAGGGAGGTACCGGTACACCACTGCACGCTGCCTTAAAATCCTGCGAAAGTAACAGTCGAGCACTTTCCGTTATACAGACTCTACTGAAAAAAGGCACCGCCGCGACTGATAGGAAAGGCGCGAGGGGCCACACCGCTATACATAGCTATGTGCAATGCTTGCAATGCTTATTTCCTGCTCCTGACCAAACATGAAATCGATGTTCATGTCAGGACCAATTTGGGATGGACAGCGCTGCTTTTTGCAACCAAAATCCGAGTTTTCAGAATCGGTTTTCATCTGCCCCAGCAGGGCGCAGATCTAGGGGCTAGAGTCTAGAGACGATAACGGATGTACACCACTGCACATCGCTTCGTCCGATGTGACGTGGGGCTGCAAAAGTCGTGAAAGACTTTCTCAAACATGGAGCAGATATTAATGCGAAGGATGAACAGGGGCAGACAGCATTAGATATTGCTCTAGCGAGCGTGAGAGCAGTCGAGTCACGCTCTTTGCCGACGCTTGCTGGACTAGATGAGCTGAAGAACACACTTGGGCTCCTTGAGCAAGCAGATCAGGCATCTGCCGAGGCTCTTGCGAACCAGATGGAAGGGAGAAAAGGGCACATTGCTGAAGCTTAAGATCAGCTCTCATAGTGGTACTGTAATTATTTACCAAAGGTCCGAGATTCATACTTGAAGCCTCGGGTTTGAAGCGGCTTTAGACATGAATATTTCAAAAGCGTGATCAAAAAAGCCGCAACGTCTGTACCAAAACAAATAATATACAACGAGAAAGAAAGGATAGGAAATCAAGAAGAGGGATGCGAACGCGTATTGTGCAGGAAAGTGCGAGCTGGGGACACCCCACTCGTGCGGGGATTAGTTTCTCTTGATCTAGGAAGTCGCAGGTCTTGGTCAGTCTAGAATGGTGATCTGCACCTCACCAAGAACTCATTCTTCCAAACTCGGAAGCAACTATGGAAAATTTCTCTACAAATCAAAATCTATGGGTATCCAAATCTCTCAATCTCCAACTATTACATGACCTGAGCCGTAGACTTCCCCTTCTTCCTAATCATCGGGCCATAAATATAAAACAAATACCGAATCGGAATCAACGCCGCAGCTATGAATCCCAGAATACTGCTCGCCCAAGGAATCCCTAAGTTATGGAACATCGGATTAACAAACATCGGGAACGCCGCAGCAAACACACTTCTCAGGAAAGTAGTGGCAGCGACAGCTGAGGCCGAGAATTTCTGGAACGTGTCGATGAGGTAGTTGAGCGCCGCCTGGAAGATAGTAGAAAAGCCGAAGCCCATGCAGACGAACCCGATCATGGGCGCGATCCAGTGGATAGATTTGGAGGAGGTCCAGCCGAAGATGAAGAGCCCGCCCGAGAAAAAAAGGGAGCCGATCATCATTGGTGGGAGGCGGGCTTCGGGGACGGCTTTGTTGTTGTTTGCCTGGAATATCTTGATGTAGAATTTATTGTTGCTGGGTGAAAGAATTAGTGACGAGGGGCATGGGTAGAGAGAGGGGAGAGAGGGACTGACTAGATGTTTGCTAGACCACCCATGATTACTCCGAGTAGGAGGGCTAGGAAGGGAAGTTCCGAGGTGACGGGGCCCCATCCTCGGTCTTCTGTGAATTGAATTGGTACTGCTGCTAAACTTCTGAGAAGTGTTAGGTTGAGTTGAGTTGAAGTGAGGTTCGCTGACAGCTTACAGGTACAGAATTCCGTAGACGAAGGAAGCGTAGAGTGCAACCAAGAAACAGATGGGTGTTGCAAAGAGCCGGAAGGGCGTCTTTCCGAACTTGTTGGCCATTTCTTTTAAGCTGACATCCCACTCCTCGTGTCGAGCGTGCAATGCCCAGTTCCCTGTTTCATGCCTTAACCGACGAGCTTTGTTGACCAGCAAAACAGGAGGGTAAGATTCGTCGAGTATTAGTACATCTAAAAGCAGAAAGAACATCATCATAATTCCTGTGATCTGAGGCAGCGATTAGATATAAGAAAAGCCGAGGATCGAGGAAGCATACATATTCGGTCCATCTCCACCTTAGATAGCTTGAAACGATGGCACCTCCGGCGATAGGTCTGCATAGAGATTAGGGTCCTGAACGGAATTGATGAAGCTGATCTACTCACCCAAGAGTAGGGCCACCAATAACAGCAAATGAATATCCAACAATGGCTGTCCCTCTCTGTGAAGGAGACCAAATATCTCCAAGCACCCCACCAGTGTTCGTGACTGGAGCCGAGCCAAATAACCCCGCGAAGAACCTGGTGATCAAAACGGTTTGAATATCTTTTGCTGTCGCAGTTCCGAAAGAGAAGCAAGCGGCAATGAAATATGGCACCAAAACTGCGGGTCTCCTCCAATCTATCAGCATGACGTCCGCATCACCCACTCTCGAACTCTACTCACAGCTCACTCAAAGGCGCCCACAGCAAAGGTCCCAACCCGAAACCCATTAATAAGAAGCTCAATCCAAGCAATCCCACCTCCTCTCCTACATGAAACTGACCCGAAATCTGACCGATTGCTGGTGCATAAACACTGCTCGCCCACGTGCTTCCCATCGCCGTCAGTCCATACAGCAAAGTTGTAATCAACTTCTTCCTAAACGGCCAATTAATCGGACGATAGGGATCATCGTCGCCATCGAAGTCAACAATCTGTGCATCGGTAGTCTTGACGTGAGCTAAAGGATGTGTGAAACGTCCGCGATTAGAAGCCCTTCGGGTGAGTGTTTGAATTCTCGTTATGCGGGCACGGGATATGCTGTTGGGGTTTGACGGGGTAGAAGCTATTGCAGATCGGTTGGGCTCGTCTTTGGCGCTCTCTTGCTTTTCAAGATCCAGTCCCATGTAGTCGGGTCTGGAGGTTGAAGGCGAGGTGTCTGCCTCTGAAAATGAGGAAGATGGTATCCGGGTGGCCATACTTGAGCGGCTGCCAGAGCCCACTTATGAATATTTGTGCTCTGAATTGAACTTCGGAAGTAAGGGTTGGTCGAATGGATTCCTTATCAAAATATTCTGGAGCATCCAACGCCATGGTATACAACATGAGCATGAAAATATAAAAGAGAACCTGAGAAGGGAAAAAGTAGGTGTCAGATAACAAGCTTTAGATGCCCGAAGACACCGGCCTGATTAGGTTATGGTTTAAAGTTTGACAAAGGAAAGGAGGGGCCGTGGAAGGAGCGACATCGGAAGTAGTCTTACTGACGCGTGGTTGCCTTGTTAGGCCTTAGAGTCTACTTAGCTAGTTTCTCTCTCTATTCTCAATCCACACTCTTACAACCCCTCTCGATCCCAACCATTTTCTGGGGCGAAGGTGGTTGATTGGCACCTTGAGTTGGGACCGGCCAATCCCCGCGGTGATACCGTCATTGCTTGAGGACGGGAAAAGGTTTAAGCGAAACCTGGGAAAACCTCGAAAAGGGGTTCAGGGACGAAAATTGTAAAGAGAAAGGCTCAAAAAGAGGGGCAAATGAAAATATAAGGCATGACGAGGGAATGAAAGGTCAGCAAAACTCGGAACCAATGAACCATTCTTGGAGTATTTGATCTAGTGCCCCACTTGTCCGATCGAGAAGGGAGGCAACCTGACTCGGACCAGCCAAAATCCATTGTCAATGGCAGGGAAGAAGCGTTTCAAGACGATAGCATGCTTGAGTAAAGAGCAAGTCAGCAAATATCAAAAAAGCAAGGATTTATCGTAAATCTGAACAGTCGCGCGGGCGCATGGAAATAAAAAGGCAAAGGAAAGGCCTCGTTCAGATGGAGCCAACACGGAAGCTGTCAAGCCCCAATCGCGCATCATCGGGGCATTTGTGATCAGATGAAGCTGAAGTGGCTCTCTGTGAGTGCATTTCGAAGCTCGAGGTTGTCCTTTTGATGTGTGGGAGTGAAGTTTTGACGTCGAAAGATAAAATCTCGGCAGCGTCACGTGAAACGCCGCCTAATTTAGACCACCCCCACATCCGCGACCCCCCAGGGTTTCTTTAAACTTCTTCCATCAACTTGAAACATGAAATATCGAACTTCATCAATTCGAGATTCCACTGCACAAAATCTATAGAGGTCGATGTGCCTTGAATCGAAATCAAAGTCGATTTCTTCCGAAAGTTCTGAACGAGCTCGCACTGTCTGAATGACCTGTCAACTGCTCGCATCCCGGCTGCCAACGCTCGAGGACGTCTTGATGATTCGTCCCGCCAGGTCCGATTCGAAAATTCCTGCAGTTTTCTCATCTGATTTTCAGGGGCTTGCTGATCGCTCTGCCAACGCACTGCCGAGTGGTCGGTACCTGGCTAAAGTGGAGCTTAGTGGCTCGGTGATCAACCCAACGTCATGTCGAAGGTCGTGGTACCTTTCCCTCTCCATAAACATCGAGTTTTCGATTCCTAACGTGCCAACTGCACTTGTCCAACCACCGAACCTGTCTTCTCAGTTCTCCTGCTCTTGGACTTCAAATATGCTGCGCTCTGCTCTCAATCTAGCCACTCTCCTCGGTCTCTCAACCGCCTTCTCAATCTCCCACCGGCAAGATGCGTCCTATATTTACATCCCCATCGAGTTCCTCTACGGCGCCGACTCCCGCGTAACAACCAACATAACATTTGGCAGCTCGCCCTCCTCCCACCCCATAACCGTAGTAATGGACACCGGCAGCGCCAATGCCTGGATCTGGCAAAGCGGCGCCCTCGTCCACTGGGGCTCACCCTACCTCTTCGACCCTGGGCCCTGCAACCTGACCGTCCCAAACACAACCACCTACAACCCCGCTCTCTCCCTCACCTCCCACACGCAAAACATAAGTAGCGAGTACGTCTATGCAGGGAACAGCAAGATTGTGCAAGGCAACCTGTACTCCAACGACACACTCACCTTCCTCTCCTCACCCACCGCATCAAACACCACCTCCACGTCCTCGATCCCGAATATCCAGCTCGCCCTGGAGAACAGCGCCATATTACGCCTCCGCGACAACGGCTCCTGTGCCCCACCTCCAAGCTACGACAAAGGAATAATCGGCCTCTCACCCTACATCCCCACAAACAGCACAGCAATCCAAGGCCCCTCGTTCCGGCAAAACCTCTTCTCCGCCTCGCGCATTAAAGCAAAAACAATGGTCACCTGGTTCAACGCCCCTCCCTCCACCCTCTCAACCCTCTCCGGCGGCCTCTTACTCGGTGCAATCGATACCTCGAAATTCTCCGGCCCGTTGGTGCGAGTGCAGAATGTGGTGGAGAGTGGGCAAGTCGGGTACTACATCGCGAAGCCAAACATCACGTTTAACGGGCAGGAGCTGGTGCCGGACCAGAACACGACCTGTTTATTAGATTCAGGGACGCACGCTGATTATCTGCCTTTCGCACCCCTGTCCGCCCTCCCATCGCGGTTCTTCAACTCCTCAGGCGGACAGCTAGTCGACGAGAACGGTGTGGTGGGATATAATGGGACGTGTGACTCGATCCCGAGGGATCTGAATCTTACGTACACCTTCGGCGGCTTTACGTCAGGCAAAACCATCAAAATCGATGTCCCGTTGAGGAATTATGCGAGAGGGGCGATGCTGAATGGAGGAGACGACGGGGTTTGTTTACTTAATTTGGAGGTCGGCGGGTGTACGTTTGGAGCGCCGTTTTATTCGGGCGCTGTGGTGGCGGTGGATGATGAGAGGGGTGTTCTTGCTTTGGCGCGGGGAGGTGTGTCAAAAGACGGATCTGGGGCTGATGCTGCATCGTTGAAGATATTTGGGACCGGGGAGACGTTTGATTTCGTCTGATTTAAAAGAGAAGGTAGGATGTTAACTTGCGAAGAAACAGCAAGACGCTCGTAAGATACCCAGAACATAAATAGACAACCACAACTCGTGATCTTACGTTCTTGGTAGTAAGTGAAGCGAAGGGCCTTGCCAATGCATACTGAAATTCACAACTGGCTCTTCTTCGACCGATCCCCATACTCCACCCAAGCCTCCGCAAACCCCACACTCCTCGCCCAATGCACACCCGAATCCTCCACACTATCAATCGCCATATTCCCAATCTTTCCCCACATATCACCCTTCACCTTCATCCCCCTCTCAACTTCCTCTCCCTTACCCTCCCATGCCTTGCTAACCAGTTCCCCATTCCTCACCGCCCGTCCAAGTTTCACCGCATGCCCATCATCCTCAAACGCGAACAGCCTCGTAAAAACACCCTCCCAGTCCGCCTCTTTCGGCTTTGCAGGCGCATAATCTGTGATTTCGGATACAAGGAGAGGCGGAGAACGGCGAGAGGCGTACATAGCGAGGTCGAGGTAGCCTTTCCATTGCAGGAGACGCACCTTATTAGCCGTTGAGAGCCAGGGTTGGGCGTTGAAGGTTGGCCAGAAGATGGATGAGTTGACGCAGTGCATAAAGTAAAAGTCGATTTTTACCTGCTTCGGTGGATTCTGGGCCGCGGCTGTGTAGTAGATACAGCTATTTATCATCTCGGCGGTCTTTTGCTCCAGGTTCTCGGGTGTTACGTGCCATTCAGAGGTGTACTTCAACATTTCGTCTGAAGCACGGGCGATGACTCCGTCTCGAATTTTGTTCGGGTCGGACCACTCGGCCGCTGTGGAGAGCTTCTTATTTGCTCTGATTTCATCCAGAAGTTCTGGGATTGTCTTGCTGCTTGTTGACGCACGGGATTTGGAATCTTTCTCGGCCGCAAGCAGGAATTCGCCTGTCCAGTTCTGGTGGCAGCAAGCTTGAGCAAGCGCTTCTGCTATGATAGCCGGCTGGTGAAACTCGATTCCAAATCCTAGGTGGATGATTGGATGGAGAAATCCTGGATCTGTTAGTGCTTGCTGAGAACCGGGAAAGGGCACGCACCTCCGTAGAATCTTCCAAGCAAACCATCTGCTCGTTCGTCCCCAGCAAACACATACTCATTCAGGACATTTTCCCAACCTTTCTTTTCCATTTCATTTTGCCAGAAAATGAGATACTCATGATAGTATTTCTCGTTGTCAAGATATTGCTTGAAATTTTCCGGGTCGCTCATGTCAGGTCGCGCTCCCGACTGTATGATATCACGCTGGTAGTTTACATTTTCTTTGTAGCGTTGCTCGATTATTTCAGCAGGAGCACCGAGGCCGTAGAGGGTGAGGAGATGGTGGACAATGTGATTGTGAAACCCATCTTTGTTGAAGAAGATGTGGTGTTTCTGGTCACGTGTTAGCTAACTGTTTCTAAGTTGTTGAGGTTTTTGACGCCGTGCCTCATGATTCTCCTGGAGCAGCTCGGAGGTCTTTGCTGCAGTTTCTGCGGTTTGGGGTTTGAATTGGACAATGCCGGTGTTGTCAACCGTAAGGTGGACCTTGTTTGGTGTAGCCATATCGTCGTTGCGCCCGGTGGCAGCTCTTCGCCACTCCTGGAAAGATGTTGTTGTTGTGTGTGAACGCTGCTGGGGAGTGGTGTTGAAGAGCAATCTCTTGGAGAGCGAAAATCGAGAATTCTGTGTGAGAAACATCGGGCATCTATATAGCAAATAGGAAGGAGCAAGCATGGCTAAAATCCAGCGAATCAAAGGTGATCATCGAATGACGCAGGGGCATCTGGTCGTGATACTTCCTCCGTATTACCAACCGGCTTGCCGCTTCGAGGGGTTGCTGCATTTTCGTGTGGTACCGTGTATTTGCATGGCGAAGTAAGCAGTCCAAATACCATGTGATGATGCGAATCAAACGTGGCGACTGCTCGCACTCCGTCGGGCGCCGAGGAGTCAAGTCAGACGCGGGGGAGATTGTCAGCAAAGGCAGATCTGTTACTGTACTGTACTGTGAAAATGCGGGGCAGGCGGCGCTTGGCACAGTTCGCTCTGAGATCAATCAGATGACCGGATCTGCGTCGATCCTGTGAAGCTCTAGATCTTTCGCTTTGTTTGTAAGCCTTGGTGGTTTAGGGTTTAGCTTGCACTACAGTACCAATCGATAACCTAGGTTTCCGCTTCTAGCTATCGCTTTACGAGTATTCTCCTTTATTAATGTTTGGCCTGGTCTGGACCTCCCATCCGCGATTGATACACTCCCGAAGGAAAACAAAGCAAAATGAGACATACCAAGCCAATCCGGCAACCGTCAACTGCCAACATGGCAAAGCCCTCCCATTGGCTCGACGCTTGAGCGATTCACAGTGAGGCTTGTTAACAGGGATGGGGACAGAGATGGGGGCCGCCATGCCTGAAGAGGCCTAACTGTGGCTCGTTCCCGGTTTCCGATCGCTCATGACGCAACCCCAGAAACGTGGGCCCGTGCCCGCCTAACATCTGATCCTCATGAGCTCTGAGCTTCGAGGTCAAATGTTTCAACAGCTACCATCTTCCCCAATCCAGCTTCTGCTCTTGCAAGCCTTTGGGTGAATTGCCTTCTTGTGGCAGCACCCCCATAACACTGCCATGGCTACTCTCCAAGACAGAGCAACTGTTCTGAGCTCTAGTGTGTTGAGGATTCTCGGGTACATCTTCCTGAGATGGATCCCTGGCCATGTATGTGCCCCCTCTGGCAGGCATCACCAGATGAGGACTAACATAGCAATACAGCATCTCCCTCCTCTCATCTACGGCCTATTCGCAATCTACATTCCCTCTTTCATCGCCAGCTTCGTTACGCTTCCCCAATACAACGTTCTAGAGGATGACATAGACATTATCGTTACGGAGAAGGAAGTGGAGGATCAACCTCTTGCTCATAATCTGCGAAGCAAAGACAACCAAGACGTACCCACGCATGTGGAGGAGGAAGTCGAAATCGACGAGACAATTATATTGGAGGAGAAGGCACCTCGACCCTGGCGTACCCTCTTGACTGGCCTGCCAGATCCCAACTCGGCAGCACTGTCACTCCTTACATTGTTGATAAATGTTGCCTTGGTATTGGCTGTCACGGATCTCATATACAGTCCGAATGCATTTCATCCTACGCAGAATCTTTCGTTTGCTCGACTTGGGTATGTCTCCTCTACCCAGGCAAGTTTGCTGGTTAGGGAACCAGACTTGTCCCAGTTGCCAATCTTTGTTTCCTATCGATTGGCCTCTCCAGCGGCTACCTACGAAGATCCAGCTTGGCAATCTGCGGGGACAATTACCTCCCTTGACAATTCCACCGACTATACAAAGGCTGTTACCTTTCCTCTACCCCAGCACCCGGATAGAACATATCAATGGGCAACATCCAACAACCATACTGGATTTTTCGCTGTTCCACCAAAAGCAGGCCAGGTTACGAAACACGGAGATTTCACGTTCTTGACAACCAGCTGCATCATACCTAGATTCCCGTACAATCCTCTCGATCACGCATTAGCCATTCCAGGCTTTAGGCACATGGCGGATGTAATTAAGTCGATTCCGGGAGGAGCTCGGTTCATGCTATTTCTAGGAGACTTCATTTATGTTGACGTCCCGAAACGTTTTGGCAGCTCTGCCGAGGACTATCGCAGCAAATACCGCCAAGTTTATGCTTCACCAGATTGGCCGAAGGTCGGGCAAAACCTGAGCTGGATTCATGTATTGGACGACCATGATATTGCGAATGATTGGGATCGCAATACCACAGGAGTCTATCAAGCAGCAGTAGATCCATGGCACCACTACCACACTGCAGTCAATCCACCAAAAGCTCGACAGGCTGGTACATACAACACTCTCAGGAGCGATGCAACTTATTTTGAGTTTACACAAGGTCCGGCAACCTTTTTCATGCTAGATACGAGAACCCATCGAGACTCAAATTCAGCGCTTCCGGTCAATAGCACAGAGAAAACCATGCTGGGCGAAGAACAACTTGCAGACCTTCTCGCTTTTCTCGAGAAGCCTGAGCCGAAAGGAGTCAAGTGGAAGATTGTCGTATCAAGTGTCCCATTTACGAAGAACTGGCGAGTGAATAACCTAGATACCTGGGCTGGATTCCTCGGTGAGCGTCAGAAAATCTTGGAGGCGATGTGGGATGTGGGTCTTCGAGGAGGGGTCGGTGTTGTGGTTCTCTCAGGTGACCGTCACGAATTTGCTGCCACCGCTTTCCCTCCGCCAAAAGGAGGAGACTGGCCTATCAGCGCGACCGTACACGAATTTTCAACGAGTCCACTTAGTCAGTTCTGGCTCCCAACTCCGACATATCGACAGGTTGACGACGGAGATATTATGATCAAGTGAGTTTCCTGACATCTTTCCATTGACAGTCACTAATCTCCTGAAGGTATATTCCTGCTGGTAATTCGAAACTTGGAGCCGTTACAATTGAGAACACCGGAAGCGATCAGAGCATCCTGAAGTTCCGCCTTTATGTCGACGGCGTTGAAGCTTGGTCCTCGGTAATACTTTCCCCGCCATCTATTTCGGGAAAGCGATGGGGTAAGGACGTTCTGTGGGGATAAATCACCTGACTTGGACAAGGCGTTTGGCTGGTTGGATAGAATACCGCATGGAGGATCAGGTACAGGATCAGGTACAGCATAGAGTGTGGGTTCTTATGCTTTTATAAATGTCGGCATAAGCGTGCCCTGGCGAGCCTTGGCCAGGCGCCAGGACCATGTGTCAGGCAGCAAGAGAAGATGTGGCGTTTGGAACTAATTTGACAATGTGCATGAATCCCCCAACCTTGGGGAACCTTGCGCTGGTAACATCGTGCTTGCTGAACTTTGTCTGGTATTTTGCCTTCGTGCTTTGGTGCTTCGCGTTTGAACTTGCATAGTTGACTATTTGTCTTGGGTCCACTCACTTTACAGCTTTAAGCGACGGCCTTGCTAACCGCGGCACTTTTGCTTTTGAAACAATTGCTATATCTAATAGTGCTGTGATGGAGTCTAGTCCATTGCAAATTTACTCTGGAATCCTCATCTAATTTGAAGTGTTGCCATAGCCTGTTGGTATTGAGTTCATAAATAGATCGCTACTCGCCGTTAAAACTCGACCCCTCAAATCATTAACAAACTTCTTCAAAGACAACAGCTTCCCTTCACAATACAACCTAGCATATTGTTAAGCGACCTTTTGCTAATACGGAGCTGATCTCGGCCCGCATTTCTCATTTACGTTCATTTACCACCTTTGTTATCTGCTTCATATTTGCCCTTTTTGCAAAGCACCTTGTCTTGACGCTAGCATCCCTGAGTTCATCAAGCGAATATTCTCTTGGGTTCTTGTCAAATTTACTAAATTTCTCACCGCCTTTGCCACCTCGCTCAGCTTTAACACTGTGGACAACCGCTCATCTCAACTCAAATTCCAAGCGACTACTTGAGACGAAGCAACTTCGTCTCCTGCCAAATTTATCAATATTCCTTACCGCCTTCGCTGCTGCCCTCAACTTTTACCTTTTGGCACAACTACGTCATATCTTTACCCACATTTTGATCAACAAACAAAGATCTTTCTATTCACTACTGTTCTTTGCAAACTAAGCATCCCATTCTACCAACGTTAGCGTCTTTTTAAGACCTTTTATTTAGTACGTAAACAACTTTCTTTCCTTTATCCTCCTTTCGTCATCCCACAACAACTCAACTCCTGTTTCGCTCACCATCCAAGTACCACTCCCGTCGCATTTGCGACATATCTTGAGCTTGTTTACTGCATCTCAAACGACTCAGAGTACAAAGAGGAGATCACATTCTGTCTTGAACCGGAGCTCCACCGGTTCACTTACTCGAGTCTGACTGTGATAGATCGTGCCGGTCCCAGAGTCAATCACAACCGTCTCTATCATAACAGGCAATAGTAGTCAAAGTGTCGATCTTTGCTCGTCATCAAGCAATTTAGCAATTTAGCAACTAGTTCTTCCTTATTCTTTCCAACCCAATCCCAGCCGAAAGACACAGATCGACAGAGTTGCTCTGGTCATTAACTGGACTTACATACATCTTCCCTACACTTACATCCGCATTGGTCCTCCTCATATCTTGCCGAGTCGAAGGAATTCCTCGATCTCGTGGAAGAGGCATAGTTTTATTTAGCAGCACAGATCGATAGAGTCCATCTATCCTCTCGATTGTAAGTTCACCCATTCCGCTTTGCAAATTATCATTCTGATACTCTATTAGGTTACACAGTCTTCTTCACGTGGTTAATTAAAGACAGAAGAAGCAGGAAACTAATTTGGCAGGGTAAGTCATTGAACTCCCGAAGCCCCGCTTTATACACGCTTCACTGTTTCTTTTAAGCGGGCATTGTTGACGTTTCCATGCCTTTAGACCCCCATCGTCCGGCCGACAATCTTGAAAAAATTCACAGCTAGCACCAAGCGCTATTAGCCAGAGATAACACTGGCATAAACTAGCTCGGGATGGGTAATCCAAACGCAAGACCTAAGAGAGGGAGCATCCGAAGAACAGATTCTCAACAATCCAACCACACTTACGACTCTGCAGTCTCCCCAAAGACACCTTCGAAGAGAGGAGCCCTCGACTCTGGTTCTTCTCAGACCGACAACAGCATGGGTGACATCGGCAGTGTTAGCTTGGAGAAGGGCTTGATGGAGAGTGGAGTTGCGAATCTGAGCATCCAGGACGAGTCTTCAACGAAGCCGTCGCTCAAATTCAAGTCTTACAAGACCGGCACTCTCATTACCAACAACGGTGTTCCTGCGGATGCCTTCATTGAGGCCTTCCCGCCGCCAAAGCCATCTCCGAAGCCATCTCAGCTGTCTGCGACCACGCCAGCCTTCGTACCTCGCACCCCTCAACCACCTACTATGGCTGCCAAAGGTATTTTGCCTTCCCTAAACACTGTCACACCTGCCTTCCAGCGCGTCCAAAACCTCCTCAATGACCTTCGTTCACCAGCCAACGCAGGTCCTAGCCACCAGGTCCCAGCCTACAACCCGTTCTACACCCCACCCACCTCCGGACCATCACCATTGCCCGCCACCCCTGACTACCAACTCCTCGCCCCCACCCGACCACCACGCGTCTACTACCAACGCGCCGAAAAGTCCAAGAAAGACATTATCGTCACCGCCAGCGGCGTGACTCGCAACGCAGTCAAAGTCGTCGAGCGCTTCCTCCCGAACGGCAGCCCGTACCACGACTACACATCCGAATTTGACGGTCCTGAGTACAACTTTGTGGAGGAGTTTAAGAAGATGAGCGTCAAGGAGAAGACGGATCTGTTGGCTCATAAGCAGGTCGAGATTTTGGTTAAGTTGGAGAGCTATGATAGGGAAGAGAAGGTGGAGATTGTTGCTGTGAAGAAGAAGGGTAAAGGCAAGAAGAAGGTACACGCCAAGGAGGGAGAATCTTCTCAGGGAGTTGACAACAAGGACAAAGGCAACGAGGAGGAGGATACCACTCAAGTTGCAGAAGAGGGAGGAGCGAAGGCCACAACCGTCATCGACACCCTTAACACCCTCGGTCCCGACTTCGCCTCCAACACCAAATCCCTCTTCGTAACCCTCGACTTCACATCCATCCCCTCCTCCTACTCCTCCTCCTCTACCTCCTCCGAACCAACCGCAATCCCGACCGGCCCCCGCGGCACCCCCACCCCCTTGTTGACCGGCCCGCTCTCCTTCGGCCTAGTCTTCGCATCCATCACCTCCCTCGTGCGCGCCCTTCAGGCCTTCACCGCCCTCAAACACATGGTCATCAACCTCCGCGTCCTCTCCGCCCACAACTCCCGTCCAATCAGCATCCCGCAGTTGACGCTCGTGCTCCCGTTCTACGATCTGGGTTTCACGGACTGGAAGGTCAGCTACTGCACGGAGTTTCTGACGAGCAGCATCCCGGTTCGCGAGTGGGATTATCCGCTGAAGTGGTTGGACCGCGAGCGCAATAAGATCCTGAGGGAGCGGGAACGCAAGCTTGAGGGTGCTGTTTTCGTCAGACGAAGCAGTGTTGAGGGCAATGTTGCGCGTTGGAAGAACCAGAAGTGAGGACAGGGCTTGGATCTGGATTGCACGGATCTCGGTCTTTCTTTGTCATTGGGCTGGTGGAGGGTGGGACATTCGTGGTTGATCGATGCATGCGTTTTCGTTAATTTCAAAATTCATTCAATCACTGAGAGGGGATGATGAAGGTGGAAGTGGCAAAGCATAATTGGCGTTTATTTTTCAATGCGCCGAGATACCCTTGAACAATGAAATGCCTTGACTTTCAGTATTGCTTGTGCGTTTTAATGCTTTTGAAGTGATGTCTGCTTTGATCTTCTGCTGGCTCTTGAACATTTTCACAACCGTGATGGCAACCCAACAACACCTATTCAAATGATGACTGGTGTTCGGGCGGGAGAGAAGTTTTGACCTAAATTCCCAGCACCACCACATCTATTCCTTTGATTAATCTACAGCAACAGTCTCGAGAGTTTTGCCGCCTGGCATCACGAGGAAGCCAATTGCATTAACACTCGGAAACTCGTCGGGCGTGTCAACGGCCATAGTGACCGAGTATCTGGAAATACTTGTCAATTTGTGACGGCGGGATCGAGGCAATGGCCAAGGCTCAAAGATCCAAGAATCTCATGTATTGAAAATACTAAGCTAAAGAGAAGAAGGAGAGAGAGAGGGAGAAGGAGAGGATAAAAGGGGGGGAATACTAGCTAAAACCACTGAAACGCCGGCTGGTTAGGTGAAACCAGTCATGTGATAGCCACCCCCCTTATGACCCTAGCAAGCGCCGTCACACAATTCAAACAATTTTCAGACGGCAACACTCACTATAAACTTGGCGACACTTGATAACCCTAATGGGCTGCTAACAAATGCACTTAAAGAAGTTATTTAAAGTAATATAAATATTTTATATAAAGTCTCAATAAACTATATTATTATTATTTAAAAGATAAAATATAATTACTTTAATTAATTCTTTAATATCTTCTTTTATTAAAAATAGAAATAATAAAAAATAATTAATATAATAATTTTTAAATAAGAAATTTCTCGAACTCTTTTAACTTAAAAATAATAATATAAAATTTTTATTTTATTTTATATAAGTATTATACTTTTCGCTCTCGAATTAAATATAATAGCTTTATTAAGTCATGTTCAGTGTGGGCAAAAACTACTCTACTCTACTCAAGCTACTCTAGAGTAGTCTTGAGTAGAGTAGAGTAGAGTTTGAGTAGCGTAATATTGTACTTGAGTAGAGTAGAGTAGAGTACTACTCTAGAGTAACTCTAGAGTAACTCTAGAGTAGTCACGTGCAAGTCACGTGACTTAGTAAATTAATGTTTATTTAATTATTAATAAATAAAAGAAGGTACTTATATAGTAGTACTATATAATCTAAACTAGTACTTATATAAGGCTACTTAAATACTACTTTTCCTGAATAAAAAACAGATTTCCTTCTTCAGAATCATTCTTTTCCTCTCTTTTTTCCTCCTTCTTTTCCTCTCTTTTTACTTCTTCTAATTCGTCCTTAAATAACCCCCAGCTTTTTAGACAAGATATAATCTCAAAAGTACTCTTATTAAGTCTATTACGTAATTTAGACATAATAAGAGCACCTTGAGAGAAGAATCTCTCGCTAGCAGCCGAGGAAGCCGGGATTCCTAGATATTTCCTAGCTATTAGAGCTAAAACAGGGAATCTAGCGGCATTAGACTTCCAGTAGTCTAAGGGCTTAGTCTATATATATATTAGTACTAATTCGTAAAAAGAGATTAAGAGAATATCGGGTAGTTATTTAATAAAATTTAAGTGAAATATACTTACTTTTCTATCTTCTCTCTTTTCTTCTAAATAAGTTACTAATTCGTCTTCTATATTAGAATATTTATTAGTAATATATATATCGTCTTCGTCTTCGTCGGAATCAGCCATATTAATATCCGAGAAATCGGATCTAGCTTGAGATAGATTATAATTATATTTATATCTAAATAAAATTAGTAATTTATTAATTTATTAAAAGTTAATTAAAGGAATTACTTATATGTTATAATCGGTCTTTAATCTATTATATATATCCGAAGATATACCACTAGATAAGCTAATACTAGTTAATCCTTCTTGTTTAATTCGAGGATCGAGAATAAGAGCTAAATATAAAGCTTTGCTTTTATTATCTAAAACGCCTATTTTAGGATAATATTTTCGAAGCTTAGCTATACCCTTATTAATAGCATCTGTAAATGCTTTATCCTATTAAATATTAGTATACTATTATTAATAATATAAGAAGAGTTTAAGAAAAGACTTACTTTAAATTCCTTTTTGAAATTTTCTAGTTTATTATATATTTTATATACCTCGGGTATAATATAATATATAGTAGGGTAGTTCTCGGCTTGTAACTTAGTAGTAGCTTTAATAAATATTGAAATTATATTTAAAATATTATTTAAATAAGTAATTTTAATATTAGTTAAAACTAAACTTTTATTTTTAAAAGCCTTCGAATTAGAGCTATTAATAATAACCTCAATAGCTTTATATATATGTAAAAAGTTCTTTAATATATAATAAGTCGAAGACTACCGTGTTTTTTGATCTATAAATAATTAGTATTAATTAATAATTAGATTATTAATTACTTACCAAGTTGAGGGAATCGAGTATTTTCTATATTAAAAGCTTTAATCTGAGCTTCTAATAATCGTCGGTTTTCTTGGTTATATTTAAGACCTATAATAGTCTTTCTAACCTTTCTCTAAATCGATAAATCTATAATTTATTAATAAATCTCTTATAAAATATATAAGAAACTTACTTGTTACTTGTTCTCCTTCTTCTTCTTCTCTATCTTCAAGTTCTTCTATTTCTTGCTTATATAAATCAGTAGAATAAGAAGTATCGTAATCGTTCTTAATAAGAGCTTTTAAAATATCTTAAACTACTAAATTTAATACGTAAGCTATACAAGAAATATCTCCTTGAAATTTAATGCCTTCCTTATTATAATGCTTTATAAAAGCCTTTAATAAGATATTATTTGAGCTAGTATTATCTCGAGTAATACTAAATAAAATATATTAGTAATTATATTATAGAAATATAATTTTATTACTTACCTAGTAATATTATACTCAATATTATATTGTTTTAAAGCATTTAATAAGACAGAAAGTATATAAACGCCAGAGTGTATATCGTTTAAGTCTTTTATAGCTAATAAATAAGATTTTAATTTAAAATCCTTATTTATAAAATATCTAATAATATATTAGTATAAGCTTTACTTAATATTATAAGAATATATAAACTTATATAGTAATTCCAAGGAAGGCCTTTTGATTTATAGCTGTCCAAGTATCTAAAGTAATAGAGAAGGTTCCTTGAGAATTAATATTCTCTTGTAATTCTTCTTTAATATTTAAACTCTTTTCTATATAGCTCAAATTAAGCTCGTCCTTTAGTGTTTTCTTATATAAAGGTAGTACTTGACTATAAAATATTAGTTTATATAGTAGTAATAATAATAATATAAGTACTTACTAATTTAAATATTTTAAAAGTGCTTTAAAGCTCGGAATAGTAACTACTCGAAAAGAGATATTATTACTAATAATAAAGCTTAATAATAATCTCTTAAAGTGACTAATAGTAAAGCTATCTTCTCTTTGGCCTGATTGTCTATTAAAAAGACTATTTATAGTTGGTTGAGAGACCTGAGAAGAAGAAGCTTCATTTTTACCTAATATCTAATTAGTATATAATTCTTTAAATAATATTAATTAACTTACTACTATTCCCACTATCAGAAAGAGTATTAAGATTAATAAACTTATGTGAGTTTCGAAAGTGAGCTAAATAATTACTCGTTTGACTATATATTCGTTGATTTAGCCACATTTTTCTAAAATATTAGTTAATATAAAAATACTAAACTTTAAGATTATTAACTTACGAATAGCCTTGTACTAGGCACCTAATATTATACGTACGAGTCTCCTCTGGGTTCTCTTGAATTGGATTTAAAGTCTTTTTTAGATAACCTTTTTTAAAGAGAAGAGGTTCTTTATCGAGGGACCTTAATATAAAATCAGGGTGGTTTTGACTTATATTAAGCTTAATCGAGGATTGCTGAGACATTTTCGAGTATATAGAGTATATATAAAGATATTTATAGTATAAAGTATTATTATAAGAGTAATGGTTGAAGATATATAAGGAATTATAATTTTAAAAAAAGCGAGAATTCGAGGAAAACCATGTATTCTTATAGAAAATTCTAATATTCTATAGGCTTCTTTATTATTCCCCTACTTACAAAGAACCGCTATATTTCGAAGGTTCTAGTCCTTTAATTTCTGATTTGTAGCTCTTATATTAGTAATATAATATAATATATGAGTCATGGTGGTTCTAGTAGTATTGTAAAGGTTCTACCTCGCTTACCAAGCCTCACTACCACTGATTGGGCAGTACAATAGCGCTAGGCTCGGGCCATCCCGGGGCCTTACTAAATTAGGCTAGCGCGTCACGTGCACGGATCACGTGCCCACTACTCAACTACTCTAAAAATACTCTAGAGTAGTTGAGTTGAGTATTGAGTAGAGTATGAGTAGTGAGAAATATAATTGAGTAGAATATGAGTAGGGCCCACTACTCTACTCTACTCTACTCATTTCCCACACTGGTCATGTTAATATAATTTGTAATAGCATTAAATATATAAAGAGAGACTTGCAATTCTTCTTTGCCTTTAAACTATCAAAATTAACGGCTCAGCTAGATTTTTTCTAGTCAGCAAATGGGATTAAGCGAAAGCAGCCATACGTACCAGGGTAAATAGTACGCTCTATCCTGGAACTGTTCTGTCAGGCCTTCATGGAGTTGCAATCGTTTTGACGTCGCCACTGGCTCAATTTCTTGAAACCGGCGACATTAAGAAACGTGAGATGGTGGGGGAGCTCAAACGATGTTGAAGTTGAAGCTCCAGTCGCGGCTCTTCCATAGTTGGAAAAACGAGATATCGCATAGTGTAGAGGCTTGTCTAAGGCCAAAATCGAGAGTGGATATCTGATTCAGCAATGGCGTAGGACCCAAGTTGCTCTTTTCCTGCGCTAATCGTAATGGTGACCTTGAATACGGGACTTTCGGAATGAATACCCTTCTTGAGCTTTGCTGAAATATATCTACCATCTCGAAGAGGACAAGTCCCTCGATCATTCCCCTCCACAAATAAACCACTCAATTCACTTCGCGACTTTGTATTTATCCAGTCATCTAGTCCCTGGATTCTAGGGAGCGATTGAATAGAGAGTGAGGCTGCTCCATCCCCATCGCGAAGAACTTTGTATTCAAGGAGAAGAATAGTGTCCCACTCAGCCCACTCAGCACTAATACGTAGGGCCGCAAAGAGTCCGTATATTGAAAATTGTTGGTCGAAAGAGAGTAGCACGTTCTTGCCGTCAATAATGGTCCACTGAAAGCCCCCTCTTTCGTTAGGAGAAGAGCAAAACTTCTCCGAAACTCGTAGTCTATTATCGGAAAGGGAAGCCGTGTCAAACAGGACGCCAGTATAGCCAGTAGCTACTTGCCGTGCCATTTTCCGAGAGTAATGAGGGATGTTGATCAAGACATGCTCTGATTTCAAAGAGTTGGCTTTAATCAACTCAATACTTACTAATTCCAGTAGTGGATCCCGGTACCAGTTAAGTTCTGAGTTTTGATACAAACGTATGGCAAAAAGCTGTATGCCTTGCACAATATCTTTGCGACCACATTTAAGTGGTAATAGAAATTCGTTCATCCAAAAACCGCTGTTCGGGCTTACGCGGATGACGGGGAACTCGAGAGCGCGAAAATCCAAACGCGTTCCTCTATTGGTCAATGTTATGGCATCGAGTAAGTGTGCTTCGGGGAAGGTTTGTTCCCAAATTCTCTCAAACGTTTCAATGCCGTTCAATCCCTCAAAGAGATATAGCCTTGAAGCGAGCAAAGAGGGAATTGGCAGTCTAGCGGAGCTCGGATCTCGGTGCGGAGCCTCCAAGCTTGGCATACCCCACGCAAATATTGACTCATCATTCGTCCTACTCCAAATTTCGAGCTGCAATCTTAAGAATGCGTTGTGCCCTTCCCCATAAAGCAGAGGCATGTTGACATCAAAAAGACCCATTAGACAATAAGCCAGATCTTCAATCCGAGTCGTCACTCGGGTAGAAGCCCAAGACAATTTTTCTGCAACGCAGGCCTTGTCGATATCAACTAAAGTTGAAATTTTTGAAATTTCTTGAACGAGAGTGCGCATACTGGATTTTGTGCCAATTTCGATCCAGTTTTGGTCATAGAATTCCACAAAAGTCGGAGCTAAGAGCTCCTGAAGCGTCCAACCTCGAGTAAACCACTTGCTTTGCCGGAAAAGCGAATCCGGGCGGGAATGGTCGGCCGTACCATCCGGAACGTCGACTAAATATGCGTAGCATACCTGCGATTTTTGGTACCATCTGTACATTGAATTGATGGCTTCCGAGAGCTCCGCGCTACTCGTCTTATCTATGCAGCAGGTATCAATCCACTGATCAACAGTCAGTTTCGCTACTTGAACAATTGGCTACGACCAGCTCTCCATTGTAGCAATTGACTTCAAATACTCACAACATAGTTCCATCCATCCCTGATAGCCTGGGCGCAACACTTGATGATCTTCTGATATCCTGGCATTTGTGGGCCTTCCCCACTTTGCACCTTCTGTAAAGTGACTTCGCCATCTCCCCATCGATGAGAAAGAATTGCATATGGTGGGATCTGAGTATCAAAATACTCATGGAGTTCAATGGTGTCTGTTTTGAGCAAGCGCATTTTCTATCTTGTGTCTGAGACCAGAAGCCCTTGAACGTTGTGACAGTGGTGCTGATTAGTCGATCGATCCAAGTGCTGAAGAGTCTGTGAGCTGGCAGGGCAGTGAACCTCAGTCCAGACAATGTCCCTTATTTGCAGGCATTCAAAGGTGGTTAAGAGAAAAGTGTTGGTTGCAGGGCATATTCATCGTGATATCAAATGTGTAATGTCTTGAGATACAGAGACGTGTCCAGACAATTTCGCTTCGTGAGCCAATAGGAGCGGGCCTGTGCTTGGGCAAGTCTTTGCGTCCTACGCTCCGTAACCGTTCGGCGTTTCCCACCTACAATTCGCCTAGCACGCCTTGTAGGTGAGGGACAGCGATACGCAAATCGCACCAAAATTTGTATGGGCAAATCGGGCAGAATTGCATCATAATAACGCCTTAATTTTTTAGTTTTAAAATTTACTAAGCTAAAGGGCCTGTACCTTGGGATCAATTCCCAATACTTAGACACTATTTTATTACGCTGCGTTATGAGAATTCAAAGGGAGAAAAGGAGAAATTCCCACCAAATCTCAGATTTGCGTATCGCTGTTCTGTGCGTATCGCTATCCCTCACCTACAAGGCGTGCTAGGCGAATTGTAGGTGGGAAACGCCGAATGGTTAGAAGGGTTCACCCACCAACCGCCCAAACCTACTTCCTGCCCAAGCCCAAATTCGACTTTAAGATTAATTTATCAATTATTAATATGATTTTATATTTTGTTAAGTTTTACTTAACAAATATACTCTTTAATCACAATTTTTTTTTCAAGTAAAAATGATTATTAATATTACTTATAAAACTGAGTTTTTATTTATATTTTAAGAATTTTAAAGCAATATAAAAAAGAATTAAAATAAGTCCTCTTATAAAAATTCCTATAATTAAGAGAGCCAGTATTATTAAATAACGGAAATCGATTTTTATCAATTATTAGTATTATAAACAGTGAGAAAAATCGATTTTTTGCTTGGGCGGGAAGTGGGTTTGGGCGGTTGGTGGGTGAACCCTTCTATTCCTTGAACTGCCATTCTTCCTGAAGAAAGACGGTCCCAAAACACGCTAAAATCGCGGCTCGCTTAATCCAGCCAATGAGAGAAAATCACGTATAACCCGAGTAACATTAAAATATTAACTCACTATATACAACTCTATGAATTATAACTATAATAATACCACGATTTACGAACCAAAAGAGTCCTTTAAGACTATTAAAATGCCGCAGCGCTTTATATTCCCCTCTGGACTAGTTATATAAGGCTAGAGCTGGCTTGTCTTGCAGTATTAGAGTAATATATAAGGCTAAAATACCCCCTTCTTATCTTTAATTTTCTTCGAAAATTACGAGAATCTGATCTTATATCTTTTTATAGTAATAGAGTTAATACTTGGAAAGCTTAATAGGATAGCTAAGTACCTGATATAATATCTTTGCCTACTAATCCTAATCCTGCTAAGTATTTGCGATAAGCTAAATTCCCCCTACTTCTCCCTTTCTATTTCTTTTAGTTCCTGAATAAGAAACTAATATAATATATAGGGCAGATATATTCCTAAAGAGAAATAATGATATTATCTAGCATTTGGGTACTATAAAGTATTATTTGTATTATAAAAGTATTATTTGTATTATAAAAGTATTATTTGTATTATAAAAGTAGTACTTTTATTAATATAAGTTTCCTAAATTTAGCCCTAATATTTCTCGAAAATTTCGAGGATTTCTTATTAATATATTATATTTTAGGTCTCTTAATTATTCTTTTATAAGAATTATCTTTATTATGGCTACTATTATAAAGAGGCCTTTCTTAAAGCCTATTTTATTTATTATAGATAATTAGGCCCTAATTCTATTACTAATATACTAAATACTTTACCTAAAGATATTTATAATATAATTCTTCTTTTTTTATAAAATTAACTTAGTTCTAATTTCAATATATACTAATTTCTAAATACCTAAAATTACCTAGCTAGTATTTAAAATAGTATAGTTAATAATATAATTATTAATCTTTAGGTTTAAGAAAGTTTAGGGCTAAAACTAAAGTCTAAAGTTTGCTTTTAAGATATTTCTAAGCTAGTATTACTTTTTATAATACCTAAATTCTTTGCAATTATTAAGGAATTATAATAAATACTAAATTTGGGCTAAAAACTGCTTTCTTTTAAGTATCTTTTTTATATAATATTAATTTTTCGAGATTCTTTAAAATTTTCGAAGCAAATTATTATTACTTATAAATATTAATTTAAAATATAAGTTATATAGGTCTTTAAACTAAGCTTATATATAGTACTTAATAATAAGAACTTAGTTAAGAGATTTAATAAAAGTTTTTTTTTTAAAAAAGAAAACTAAAAATTTCTAAAATAATAATTTCTAAAATAATAATTTCTAAAATAATAATTTCTAAAATAATAATTTCTAAAATAATAATTTCTAAATAATTATAATATAAAATAAACTTATATATAAAACTTAATAATAAAGACTTAAATAAAATAATTTCTTTAAAATTAAAATTTTATTATAATATAAAAAAAGAATTATTTAAATTTCTTTTTTCTTATTATTAATTTTATTATAAAATGTTATTATAATATAAAAAGAAGATTTCCTTAAATTCTTTTTTTATTATTATTTATTTTATTTTAAGATTTTATTATAATATAAGAAAAAGATTTCCTTAAATTCTTTTTTTATTATTATTTATTTTATTTTAAGATTTTATTATAATATAAGAGAAAGACTTCCTTAAATTCTTTTTTTATTATTATTTATTTTATTTTAAGATTTTATTATAATATAAGAGAGAGATTTCCTTAAATCCTTCTTTTATTATTATTTATTTTATTTTAAGATTTTATTATAATATAAGAAAGAAATTCTCTTCAATTTCTTTTTTATTATTATTTATTTTAGGATTTATTTATTTTAAGATTTATTTATTTTAAGATTTATTTATTTATTTATTTAATTATATAAGTTTTTTAATAGAGTTTTTTTTAATTAAAATAAAATTCTTAATTTAAATCTTTTACTTTCAGAATTCTTAAATAAAATATTAAAATTAGATTTAGTAATTTCTATATTAGGCTTAAGCTTAGCTTAATAAAATTAAATAGCTAATTAAGCTATATTAGCTTTTTATTAATTTAATTAAATAAATTATATTACTAGAAATCCTTGAAATTTTCGAAAAAAAATAAAGTATATTATAACTAAATTACTTATAAGTTCTTAGCTAATTCCTTTTTTATATAGCTTATATTTTTTTCTTTTAAACTTCTTAGGCTTTAGAAAGTTCTCCCGAGGATTTATAGAATTATTATTAATTCCTATTAAGTAGTAAATAATTATTAAGTTATTAAAATTAGTTAATTACTTTTCCTAATTATAAAGCTTCCTTATTACTTATTATTATAATTATTATAATATATAGTACTAGTAGGGGTTAGACTAGAGCTAGAGAGGCATTAGGCATCTATAATTACCTGATTATTACACGTGACCCCGAGCTTAAGCTAGTATATAGGCCCGTATATAGCTCGCAATTATTTAGATCCGAGGCTTTTTCGAGATCCTTTTCTTTCTTTAGCTTTAAATTATTAAAATAGAGATAGTCTAACTATACTTTCTAGGCCCTAGATCTTATACTCATAATATAATTCAAAGCTCACCTACTTCTTAATCCTATAAAGGATTTAAATAATACCTACCCGATTAGTTTTTAACAAGTATAAATATAATATATTATGGCTATTCCCGTACTAGTTAGCTAATATTAGAATAAAAGAAAGCCCTAGAATAACTAGGCAAGAAAGCCCTAGACTAGCCAGGCAAGCGGATAGGCTAGTAACCTTATTACTAAACGAAGACCTATAAGAAAGCAAGTTCCAGAATAACTAGGTAAATTAGAAGGAGCTATAGTATAAGATATTACTAGTATATTACTAGAAAGTAAACTAGAATCTCTTATTAAGTTTCCTAAAGAGTTCAAATATCCCATTAATACTTATAATAGGAGAGATATTTTCTTTTAGAGAGCCAAAAAAGAAGAGAAACCTGCCCTATTAAAGACAGACTTTTAAGAGTTATTCTAAAGTCTAAAGGCTTTATATAAGGAGATTATTAAGCTAATTCTAAAGACATATAATATTCTTGCCTATAGCGAGAATTATTATAATTAGCTAAGAGAAACTAAATAAGCCTTATAAAAGAATAAAGCTATTATTAAGAAGCTTATTATATAGCCTATAGAAATAACCGGTTTCTCTATTCTAGAAAGTAAATATTTAGTTAAATTCCCTAACTTTCCTATTTTTAAAGATATAACTAAGGATAGTATTATCTTTAATAATTAGTTAGTTTAGATTAAGAATAAGCTCTATAATAACTTTAATATTTACTAGATAAAGAACCTTAAGATTATTTATATTTCTGGCTATATAAGTAGCTATTTCCTTATATTAATCTTTTCTTACCTAAACTAGGATAATTAATATATATACGAGATTATTAGAAAACTATATATTTATCTAGAAAAGCTATATAATAACTCAAATAAAGAATATAATACTTAGTAAGCCTTTAAGAAACTATTTATAAAGAAGGGCCAGATTTTTTAGGAATTTTATATTCTATTCCTAAGATATATAGCAGACGGAAATATTAACTTATAAGATCTTAAAAATAACCTAAATAATAATCTTATCTAGAAGCTCTAAGAAGCCATAGCTATATATTATAATAACCCGGCCATTTATATTATAAAGTTTATATAATACTATATTATAAATAACTAATAAATTCGAGCTTATTATAAAAAGAAAGACTAGATATTCAAGAAAGCTAATAAAGATATAAATAAGCCAAGTTTAGGAAGTGCCCTTTATATAAAGCCTGCTCCCAAGATTCTAGTAATAGATAAGCCTATTGCCTTAAAGCCCGGATTCTTAGATCTTAA